AATTTTGTTGCCTTCAGTGAAGCTCAGAGCAGCAGCGCAGCAGGAAGCCTGCTTCTTCATCACTAGAGCAAGCAAGCCTCCAGCTTGCTCCAGCTCCATGGCTCCTGGCCGCCATCTTGGTTGAGTTAATTTGCATATAGTCGCTCTGATTGGCTGGTGGGCGTGGCTTAAGGCGTAGCGAAGGCACGGTCAATTTGCATGTTTGTCTTTTATTAGATTAGACTAGGGGCTCAGGGCACAAATTCATGCACCTTGAAAGGAACTGTGGGCCATGAGGCTGCAGTGGGCACGGGTGGGTCTCAGTCCATCTTCCACACCCCCGCCTGGCCCCTCCTGCTGCAGCCTCCAGTCCCTTGTCTGCTGGCAGCCTCGCTCCCGCCGCCAGCGTTCCCACACACTGACAGCACCGGCCCCACTTGCACCCGATGATGACACAGAGCAATTGGGGCCGGTGCCAGCAGTGGGTGCGAGCGGGGCCGGCACTGTCAGCGGGTGCAAGCAGTGGCTGCTGCCCCAATCACCCCTCAGGAGCTGGGGGAGGTGAGAAGCCCTGAGCGGCAATTGGAGCCGGCAGCCACCACTCGCACCCGCTGATGGCACCGAGCGATCAGGGCCAGCACCGAGTGCTGGCAGCAGGTGCGAGCGGTGGCTCCGGTGCTGGCTGCGGGTACAAATGGGGCCATTGGCAGCAGCGGGTGCAAGAGGTGGCTGCTGGCCCCAATTGCCCCTCAGGAGCATGGGGAAGTGGACAAGCCCTGAGGGGCAGTCGGGGCCGGCAGCAGATACAACCGTCAGGCAGGACCGCAGCGTGCGAGAGCAAAGAATTTTCAGTAACCACCAGAGGCTTGCCCTGATGACAGCAACTGGCGCCCCGCCTTGGTCTGGCACCCCCGCTCACCTGCTCTATCATCCTGCTGCAGCTGACGTCCACCATGTTCCACGCTCTGCTGCCTGCTAACGACACCTGCCATGTTCCGCACGCGCCCCTGGTGGTTAGTACATGTCATAGCGACCAGTTCGGTTGGTCCGCTGTTCGGTCTATTTGCATATTAGCCTTTTATTATATAGGATACTAAAAATTGATATTTATTTTGGTTGTGATTGCTGTCACCCATCATCATTTTAAATTTTAATAGTTGTTATGGTTTTCACTAAGTGTAGGTATAATGGGCATAAAACTATTTTTAATACCTTTGTCTTTTACATAATCCAAATCACTGCTTATCAGTGATTGCACTTTTACCCCAAAAGTCCAAAGACAGGATGGTTCCTTATCATTTTACATTGCATATTACTAACAATAGTAATAGTTACCACTAGTTAAACTATTTAAACATCCCCAAAACCTAACAGGTGAATTGGAAACATACTAAGAACTTCCAGAATTATAGCATTGTATTATTTTTAGTATTGAACTGAGTATATTTGGTTAAATTCTCTCTTCGTCTGTCTATTATAGTTTAGCTTCCTCACTCTCCCTGGACTTTTCTGAAGATTCTGGCTCTGCATGTCCAATACAATAGCCGCTATCCACCTATGGCCATTTAGATATAAGTTAATTAGAAACAAATAATAAAAAGTTTCATTTCTCAGTAACACTAGCCGCTATTTCAGTGCTCAATACTGTAAACCAGGGGTCCTCAAAATTTTTAAACGGGGGGCCAGTTCTCTGTCCCTCAGACCGTTGGAGAGCCGGACTATAGTTTTAAAAAAAAACTATGGCCGAAACCAGTTTGGCTCAGTGGATAGAGCGTCGGCCTGCGGACTGAAAGGTCCGGGTTCGATTCCGGTCAAGGGCATGTACCTGGGTTGCAGGCACATCCCCGGTAGGAGATGTGCAGGAGGCAGCTGATCGATGTCATCGATGTTTCTAACTCTCTCTATCTCTCTCCCTTCCTCTCTGTAGAAAATCAATAAAATATATTTAAAAAAAAAAAAAACTATGAACAAATTCCTATGCACACTGCACATATCTTATTTCGAAGTAAAAAAACAAAACGGGAACAAATACAATATTTGTATTTGCATGTGGCCCGCGGGCCGTAGTTTGAGGGCCCCTGCTGTAAGCCCTCGATTTTTCAGACCTTGATTTAACAGACTTTGGATTTAATGGATAAAATTTTCGGTCCATATGTCATATGTGAAAATTAATACCCTGTTAATTTTAAAATTCTTTTAACCAAGAGTTGCTTATCCTATCTAATAATAGACAAACATGGTAATTAACCGTACCTCCGACACACTTCCCATTGGCTAATCAGGGCAATATGCAAATTAACTGCCAACCAAGATGGCGGCCGGCAGCCAGGCAACTGAAGCGAACAGGAGGCTTGCTTGCTCCAGTGATGGAGGAAGCCAAGGTTCCCCGCCTGCCGCCGCCCAGCTCTGAGCTGCACTCTAAGCAACTATGTTGCAATTATAGAAGCTAAACAATCCCCAGAAACCTGCTTTCAGCCAGCCGGGCCTCAGAGCTGGAGTTGCAACAGTGTTTCAATTATAGAAGCTAAACAAAGCCCAGATACCTGCTTTCAGCAGCCGAGGTCTCAGAGCTGGAGCCGAGCCTCAGAGCTAAAGCCAGCTCTCAGCTCCAGTGACAGCCATAGAAGGTAAATAAATCCCAGAATAAAAAAAAAATAAAAAAAGGAGAGGTTGGGAGCTTCAGTCACCCGCCAGCCTGAAAACGGCCCTCAGCCCCTCACCCAGACTGGCCAGGCACCCCAGTGGGGACCCCCACCCTGAAGGGGGTGTGACCAGCTGCAAACAGCCATCAGCCCCTCATCCAGGCTGGCCAGGCACCCAAGCGGGACCCCCACCCTGATCTGGGACACCCTTCAGGGCAAACCAGCCGGCCCCCACCCGTGCACCAGGCCTCTATCCTATATAGTAAAAGGGTAATATGCAAACTGACCCTAACAGCAAAAGGACTGGGAATGACTGGTCACTATGACACACACTGACTACCAGGAGGCAGACGCTCAATGCCGGAGCTGCCCTCTGGTGGTCAGGGCACTCTCACATGGGAGGAGCTCTGCTCAGCCACAAGCCAGGCTGAT